CACGGCCGCACAAATAGGTCGCCGGCCGTGCTCTCCACTGGCTCCTCGTCTTGCTCAGAGGCACATTTATCTAATCGCTTAAGGACTGCTGCTCTCTGAGGCAAAACCTGCCCGGTATAACCCTCAGTTCCCATCGCAAGGGAAATACTTGGTGCAAAAAATGTCATTCTGCAAGAGGGGAGCTCTGGGGGACGGGCACATCGCCAGATGTTTTGCAGCGTTCGTTTTCCCCGTGGCTAAAGATGGGAATAGTTCTCATGAAGGAACAAATTCTGCTTCACGTTAATCCTATTAAAGACATAGCAGGTCCTGGGTGGCACCTGGTCTCGGTGTTTACTTGACTTAAAGATGTCCTGGGTAGTAGGTTATTGTCTGTCACATCCCTGACCAAAGGGCTGTCCCAAATCCGGCCGCATTGTCCGCAGCAAAGGCTCTGAGCCGTCAGAAAGGAGAGAACAGCAGCAAAAAACAGCTCAGACAGGAGCCAGCGAAGATTACTCCAAGCTAGATTAAAATTCCTTCAAAAACTGGTCACATGTTTCTTTTCCATTTTTCCCAGGCCACTGAAAAGTGGAGCAGAAAGCGCTGGGAGACGGCAGGCACTGGGTATATTTTACTAAATCTGAGGCTTTTACACCAGTTGCACACTAGGTGGTAGTGCAAGGATGCTTTTTTCTGCTTTTCTGCTCTCACCCTGTGAAATCAGAAGTTGTCCCAGGATCCAGGTGAAAAACTCTCTCCTAGGCTATTATTAAAGGTATATTTCTGGCTTTTGGCAAATCCTGGGATAGCCAGCACCTGCACCAGGGTTCAAAATGCAAAAGAGCCTTTGAAAGAGGTACAGAAATAGGCTCATTTAAAGGCAATTGCCTGAGAGCTCTCCAGGACTGGTGGGAGAAGAGAGGAGGGATTGCAGTGAGGTCTCAGGCAGGATAGTTAATGCTGTAAAGGAACAGCTAGTACCTCTGAGATGCCTGGGAAATGAAGGCTTTGATAAATTGCCTGAAAGTCAAATCATATTACAGCATAAGGGTAAACCCAGAAAACTGGGAGAACCATTCAGTATTTAGGGGGTGAAGTATATCTCTCAAGCTATAAGCTTAAAGCATTGAGCTAATGCCATCAGTTCATAGCAATTTATGTCTTAGGAACGAAGCGGGGGATGACTGCTGTGCGTTTTAAATTGCACGTCCAAGAATCGCTAGAAATTGATTCTTGGATTTCATTAAACAAACAGAAGTGCAAGGATATATATACACATATACATACTTTTTTTTTTTTTCCTGAGCAAGATGGTGGATGGGTTACTGGAGAGAAAAATAAACTAGCACTGAGATAGCAACTGATTCTGTTTTCCCTGTGATCTTTGAATGCTGGATGCTGCAGACTTCCCTGAGACACCTCAGACCATTCCCGCCCCAGGTGCCAGCAGTCTCTGGAGCGGGTCCTATGGGCCGCTCTGGGTGTTTGTGCTTCTCTTTTTTTCTCTCTGCTGCTTGACAGTCTCCTCATGGCGACAACGAAACGCCTGTTTTGCAGGAAACCATTTGAGCTTTATGGATGGGCCTCAGCAGGCACTTCCAGGCGTCCATAAAGCATACCGGCACGCTCCCGGGCGCATTGCTAACCTGACGGAAGAATTGATCAAAACTGATAGAGATACAGGGCCCCGAGTCCCTTTACAGCCTGTCTCTGCGCCGCTCCGCTCGTACGGCACCAGCGGAGCCGAGCCGGGCAAAACGCCTGCTTGGAGGAGGGAAAAGTGAAAAATAAATTAAAAACTCCAATTCCATGCACAGGTTTTCCTGGGAATGTATCCCAAACCTATGGCCCGAAACTTGGTCTGGTCTTATCTGCACACTGAATGCCCTGTTGAATTTTTGCCCTTTTCTTTCTTGCCCTGGTTAAATCATAACTTTATGAAGGAGCTTTCCCAAAGCAGTGACACTTTTACCCTCACTTTCTCCTACCAGCTCTAGAGAGGGAATTAAAATTCAGGATCCATCACCAGCACTTTAATTATTCAGTGTTATCAAGTTGTCACCAGGCCTTTAATTATTTTCCAGTTTATCCCTAATATCGCGCACTCTGAGGGCGGTAGGACAGGCCTGCAGCTGCAGTGGGGAACGCCGGTGTCCCCGTCGACAGCGCGCGCTGGAGGTGACACCGCTAATGAAACCCGCTCGTCTCCCTGCCATGAGATCCCCTCACCGAGATAGGGCTCATCCGCGGTTGGCACGAGATTTAATTACGATCCTTTGGTACCAATAAAAACTTAATAATAGATTCAAAGCAAGCAGACAGGATAGAGAGATACCAATTAAAAACTAAATAATATATGCAAAATGAGCAGAGGCGAGAGAGCAGGGCTTGGGGTACCGCATCCACGGCAAGGTTGGGGTGAGACAGTGAAGGTAAAAGGCCTTCACTGGGCACTTGGCCTTTCAGACAACAGCACGATGCCGTTAAGGCTGTTTTTCTCTAGCATATGTGTACTGACATTATCCAGAGCGTTCTGGAGACAAGAACCAAACTGGGCCCGGATCACGGGGGGCAGATTTGCAAAGTTTGGGGCAGGTCAATGCCCCAGGCTGCAGCCAGGACGGCAGCAGCATCCTCCCACCACATGGTGAACAGCCACATCCTGATGCCTGCCTACAGCTTGGAGGAATGTCCAGGGAAGCAGGAAGGGATTTTGGTTGCTTTTTAATTAGAAACAGTGCAATGGCAAGGAGCTGAAATCCCTACTCCCTTGAGGACACGAGTCGCTTTGCTGTTGATTTGAAGGACAGCAGGGTTGGCTCCAGTGAGGCTGGACCACACGTTGCAATCAAAGCTGCTCCCATTTTCTCTAATTTCTGCATTTCTGGCATTGAGGGTGGGCAGTGGGAAACACCTATGAGCTGCAAGGCGGTGGCAATGTTGCGTATTGATTTCTTTAATTACCATTTCCAAGACTCTCTAGTGTCTCCACAAGGAAGAGGAGCAGTAGCAGTAAAGACTGAGTGACCCAGCAAGGACTTTGCAAAGGGCAGAGCCTGGGAGCACCCCAGAAAGTAAAAGGCACATGTTCCTGATGGAGATCCGCAGGGAAGCCCACACTGTCGGCAGGGCAAGGAAAAGTGTTCCTCAGGGTTGGAAAATCAACATGGTGAAGAAAGTGGGAAAGCAAAGAGATGTTGTTACTTATATTACCCACCGATACGCACTGAGGTCTCGGTGGGGCTCCAGGAGGCTCTGGCAAGCCACATTTTTACCAAAAAATCATCCCAGAGCTGCATGCAGTAATGAGCTACCCGGCAAAGTCATTGGGAAATACAGCCCAGTAGCTTGGAGCATGCAAAGGTGCCCATCCACTGGTCGAGGCCCTTTCATCTCCACAAAAACCTTGGGACTTAGTTTTTATATTAGCTTAGAACATATATAAG